CGAAGGTAGTGACATAAATTTTTTAATGTTTGTAATGTATCATTGTCTCCGATTACTCCCAGATGGAACCGTCTCATTGCAAAGAAACAAGCCCAGGGTTCTCATTGATTTAACGTTCTAGTAAATAAGAATGTTAAATTCCTTTATCTTTATATTTTGTGTAACTGTATTTTATTTTGAAGGCAGGTAATGAAATACAACTAAATTAAAATTAATGAATCAAAATAATCTAAAATATAAACAATCAACATCCTCCCCTCCCCCATCTCCCCAGCGTACTGTGGTAAAATTATCAAACGTTGACAGGTCCGTGGTGATAAAAAGGTTGGGGAACACTGTTGTAAGGTATGCCCTCAAGAATATTGTTAAAAACAGTTACCAAGGTGGTCTCTCGGTTACGTTTACAGTTTACAATGACAGAATTTCGAAACGTTCAAATGACAACGCTTACTGTTTGTTTTTCATAAACTGTAAAAATACAATATTGAGGGGAAGCGATGATTTTAACATGAAAAACGGCGGCATTAGGCGGGGATGAAGAAAAGAGCATTATGAGGATTTTCGACGCGTTAGCGGTTTAGCTCTTCTGAATGCATTCTGGCGACAACTGGGAAGGAAATGCAGTATTTACTAAGCTGAATTACCCACTCCCATGCAGGGGTCACCCGTTTTTGAATCACTCAGCATATGAAAAAAGTGTTAGCTATAAATAATAATTTCCAAAAATTAATTGAACTTATAACTGAATATTTAAAAATTAAACGGTTATAAAAATCCACTTTTTATTATATTGTACACTGAACAAACTGCTTTTTTCTTACTTTAGTTTTTTTTTTTTTTCAATAAAATGCCGCATGTCAAGACAACTTTTTGATTCAAAACTTGTTCTATAACGATAAATTGCAATAATAATAATAAAGTTAACTGTAAGCTATTTTTAATATATTTCTAATAAAAAAGAGTGCTGTTTTTTATCATTTTTAATATAGGACACGAAGCTATGCTAACTTTGAAATCAACATTCAAAAACAAATATTATTGTAAAATTATGTTCTATTGACAACCAAATTTTACGGTACTTTGAAAGAAATATTTTTTGTAACATTTATGCTATTTTAGAATCAAAATCAATTCAATATCAGAAAAACAGTTAAAAATAAATATTAAAATGATGCTTGTTTTTGTATTTGATACTTTTCTTTCAAGAAAGACAGAAAAAAAATTTATTTGACGCCAAATTGAAAATAATATTACTTTCCACACCAGACTGTTTCATTATCCGAGTAAATATCCGGAACGATTCCGGTTTTCGTGAAGTATTACCATTTCCGGAAAAGAGGGAAATAACATTTCCTGAAAATATGAAAAAGTAGTATATTCCCCCAAAATATTAATCACGTCTTTAGAAATGGGAAACTTATTTAATGATCTGCTATTTTTTTTCGTTTGTAATTTCATTGGTAAAACAAATTGTTGAATAAGAAATCCACAATGAAATGAAAAATAAATATATTGATTTCCTTTTAAAAGTTCGAATTACTTTTGTAAGTGTTTTGGGGATATTTTCCAAAATAAATGATGCGGAAAATATTGAAGAATGTTTTTGCGTGCTTATTATTTAGGTAGATAAAAAAAGAATTTCATTTTTAAACAAAGCACATTAAAAAAATTCTGATTGACTTTGAATGCCCACAATGACAAAATGCCATTTTGTTTGTGAAAGAAATATTCAATGCAGGTTTATTTTGTTTTCATAAATAATTTTAAAACCAATGACCTCGCAAAATATCTCAACAAATACTTATTTTATAAATTTAACATTTTTGGAGTTTGATAAACCCAATTAATTTCTTAGGTTGTGTATTTAAAAGAAATATTGTATAATTATTATGTAACACTTAATTATCACGGAGTACTTCCGTTACAATTTGTTATTGTTATTAAATTCAACTTACAGTTTTATGAAATTTATTTTTAAGGATATTTATCGGTGTTTAATTTGTTATAGTTTATCATTAAATATGAGGAAAACAGATTAAGAGTACATTATAGCCGACTTTTTTTGGAATGAAATTGCTTGTAAATATTTGCTTAGTTTACAATTTTTTCTTTGATATAGCTTTTGAAACTTTTGAAAAAATTTATCGCAATAGTTTTTGCTTTTGTTTTCTCATAGTAGTATTTAGGGCAGAGAAATGGAAAGAAAACTTTTTTTATGTCTATTTCGCTTTAATTATTAAAATATTTGCATTTAAATTTAAAGAAAAATTTAAAATTATAATTAAATTATCGCCAACTTAAAGACGAATGTTTGCTGCTCTGAATCTGGTCAAATAACTTTATAGCCAATGGTTGCGCTTTCTCATCGTGCGATAGACTAAAATGCAATTTTTGATCACAAATACTTCTATAGTAAAGCAAAAGCAGAGAAAAATATTTTCACACTTCATTATCATTTTTGTTAATAGTACAATAAATAATAATAGAAGATCGGCCTCTTTAATATGTTTCTTCATCTAGATATGTTTACAGTGGGCTGCAGATCGATGGATAGAAACTTATCTGGGAACGAAAGGTGGCCGGTGCACAAACTTGACCCCACAACCACCACAGTGCCATTGCTTTCTTAATTAGGAAACTTCAACCTCCATGCTTTAGCCATTAACTGGCTGTTACTGGAATACTTTACAGTTTTATTTATTTTGTTAAACTTTTGTGACAGAATAAATAATTTATACAGTCAATGAAAATTTAAAAACCAAAAAAAAAGAAGAAAAAAAAGCAAAATGTTGATAATTTTACTTAAGAAATTACTTTACAGTTTGATAATTAACTTTTATAAAAATAGTTATTTTTCTTATTCAAAATCATGAAAAAGGTAATAACGCATCATTTATGGGAGAAAACAATAGCCGTTTTACAAAGCCACGTAATTTCATTTAAATATTTTACAGCTTGGTTAAAATAAGCCATTTGCATAAAAATCTATTGCGTGTGTTTGCTTAGAGCAATTCAGAACAATAGAATCTTAAATCAACCGCTGGTATAAGTAGCAAAAGATTTGTAAAAAAAAAAGTATGTGTGTTTATTTTTGGGAAAAAACAATATTTCAAGGTTGCTAAGAATTGAAACCAAACACCAATAACTGTTAAATGAAATGCTTCTGTACTAAGGAGAAAAATTACTAGGAGAAATATTAGTATGAAAATCAATATGAAATTAATATTGTTGAACAGAGTGCATTGGTAAAACGTAATTGTACTGAGAAATAAAATATTTAATTAAAATAAATTTTTTTCGCACTTATGATATTATTAATTGCAAATTTAATTCATTTTATTATTAAATATCACAATTTAAGTTTTAAATTTATTAAAAGCTATTAATAAAGTGCATGAAATTTTCATGTGCCGAAAAATTATGATATATTTTTACATTTTAAAGTGCTATCTTAAACAAAGTTTCGAAGCTTTTATTGTTTATTATAATAAGGTTTTGACGTAAAATCTTGAATATACATTGAAACCTCAAGGGAGTACTACTCACTCTTTGTTCCATAACAAAATGGTCCTTAATGAAGATTGGTTGTTCTTAGGGATTACCTCCATTGATTTCAGAATGTTATCGATGGTACATGATTTTTATTTTAATTTTAGTCAGTGACATTTCCTTGGTGCGGAAATGCTTCTTGTGTTGGAGTCATAAAAACCGAATCAATGAATAAAATTTAGCTTCAATAAAAATGATACCTACTAATATAATTGTGAGTAAAAGCAAATTTAGCAATTATGAATGATAAAACTATTTAAAATAAATGAATAATGTTTTTTGTTTAAGTTTGCATTTAATTTTATATTATAAAAATTAGTTAGCTTTAAAAAATGAGAAGAGGTTTGTTTGTTCGAAATGCTTAGTTTATTCTAAAAAAGCTTTTTTTTTATTATTTAACTTTCAACACTAAAATAAATCAAAGATAGCATCGTTTTTAGTGCCCTCTGACTGCAACATGACGTAGCAGATCTATTTCAGAGAGTTCTCTAAATAAGAACCTCACACAAATATTTTGAATACATTTTAATCTACTTGTTTGCTTTGTTAATATTTTTGATTTGATATTCTTTCGTGTTTCCTTATCAGACCTTTTCTGCATTTGGTGCAGAGGTTTGCC